TCTACACACCGATCGCTATTCCGTAATTACATTGTCCATGTTTTTGGAGAGCATTGGCCCAACCAGACCTGCATCTCCTTTCTTACCGCTTTGTAAAGTCCTGCGGGGAACATCCACCCGCGTGCCTCAGAATGCGTGTTTTAGATTAGGAACGAGACGAAACTGGGTATTATGCTCTCAGTCTGATCCTTGGCTGATGTATTACAAAGGGATGCTCGACCGGGTTTCGAGCATTTGAAGCTCCCTGCCAATGGACAGGAGCCATCCATCGGTTTGCCTCGGTTCAGATGGTTCGCCTACGGCCACTGGACCGCATGACAGGTCACGACAGGATGTTTTTTACCAAACCAAAAAAAAAAAGTTTCCGAAATAATTGTGTTCAATGGGTTGTGTGAAATTTTAGCTGTTCATTTGCAGAGGGGCAAGGTTCATCTCCATGTTCAAAGCTGGAGTTGCGACCAACCCCCTGAATAGAATGCCTGGTCATTTTCGCTGTATCTGGACCGAAAGTCGCACTAAATACACAGCGACAATGACTGTGTGTTCTATTCGGGTGAAGACAGTAGGCAGGCCCTAGGGTGCTTTGCAGAATAACCTACTTTGTCTTTGTAGTATGCTTAGTGGTAAGTTAGATTTTTAACCTTGTGTTAGTTCCTTTGGATTTTCACGTGGGGTTTAGATTTTTAACCTTGTGTTAGTGCCTTTGGATTTTTACGTGGGGTTAAGATTTTTAACCTTGTGTTAGTGCCTTTGGATTTTTACGTGGGGTTAAGATTTTTAACCTTGTGTTAGTTCCTTTGGATTTTTACGTGGGGTTGGGGATGTTACCGAGGTAAACTGTGAGTACTTCACAAACGTCGTGACTGCTGCCTTCCCACCAATAGAATGCATGGTCATCATCGCTGTATCTAGACTGAAACTTGTCCCAAATACAGGTATAATTGTGCGTTTCATTCTATTTCAGGCCGGGGGGTAAGGGGCTTAATTGTGGATTGCATGATTTAATTATTTTGAGTCGAGTAGTCTACAACAAAACTATGAAAATAGACAAAGAATATACTAGAAACATAAAAAATAGGTTTAGATTGAAGTTCAAGTGAAATTCAAATACTAATGAAAATTAAGATACGTATTCTGATTTTATTGAATATAAAACAGAATTTACTTGTAAATTGTGTGTCAAGATAAAGAATCCTCACGAAAAGGTAACTATATAAACTTGTGCTTCAAAACGAGTGTGTGGTACAATTTGTACCTGGTTGAGCTATTCCCATTCCTCTTTCTGTATCGTTTTTCTCAATACCTCTTAAAAGTACACCAATAGGGCCATGAAGTTCTACCCAGCTCATGTAGCTAAATATATAACAAAGTTCGGGGCTCCCGCCTCTTTTGACAATTAAAAGGGTTGGTAAGGTATAGGTGCCAAAAAAAAAAGAAAAAAAAAGTATGGGGTTCCAACGTGTAAAAAGCTGCTGAATAGTTGTGAACCACAGTCGTACGGTGAACTATTTTAGTGTTTTACTATTTTTTAATTTCTTTACAATTGTATGATTTTTTGTCATATCATCTCAGATGTGGGTTTTTCTTTTTTTTTTCTTTTTTCTTTTTTTTTTCATGTGACAATTTGGATAGAACACACTTCATGTAGGCTAACCTATTTTTAGACTTGCAATTTGTTAAACCATTAGTACCTTTCTCAGCCTTCGTTTTCTGATGCATGTGTACATACATCTGCAGTTTGTGGGGGTTCGGTCACCCAAAAGGGGAAAGCAATTGCAGCACGGCGGTTTGTTGTGGTGCGCAGCGCAAATCCAAATCTGGTTTTGGAGAAAAGAGGCTCGGAGGTGCTGGTGGTGTTGAGATGTTGGCATTGCGAAAGGGGGGCCAGCGGAGCTTTGGGGAATCATTAGAGGTTGAACACGGCCAGCAGTCCGCAGTGTCATATAATTTTTTATTTTTTTTATGCAGCTGTCTATAAGGGTCTTATCAAGGGTTTTAGAGCTGAGTACGGACGCCGCCCGGCCGGGCGGGGCACGGGCAGGTCGCCCGGGCAAACCGGGCGGGCCGAAAAACAGCCCAGAAATATATATGTATATATATTCTCTCTCTCTGCCTACGGTTTACCGGGCAGTTCTGTTTGTGACGATATATATATATATATTCTCTCTCTCTGCCTACGGTTTACCGGGCAGTTCTGTTTGTGACGATATATATATATATATATATATATTGAGGA